TAGCCCAGATTAACCCTAGGTACTGCAAAGTCAAATGCTCTCTCACAGTGCAGCCTAACCTTGATACCCTCAAAGTCAGAGAGATCAGATGCTAAAAAGACAGCAGAGCTCAGGCCTGAGAAGGACTTCCAACCCTTGCAGCTCCGTGAGGAAAACATTACTCTCCAGAAAAGGGAGTTAGCCGTTTTCCTGTGTTCCTTGAGTTACCTCAAGATCATCAGTCTCTGTCCCTTTGGGTTGCTAGACCTGTCAAAGGACAAAATTACAACAAATATAGTGTAAGGATCTCAGTTGTCTTTATTGTGACTCTAGCATCAGGCCATGTTTCATTCCAAAGTGGAGAGTAAAAGTGTTCCTGTTACTTTTTTTTTTAAGACAGTCTCGCTTTATCACCCGGGCTAGAGTGCAGTGGCCCAATCTTGGCTCACTGCAACCTCCCGAGTTTAAGTGATTCTCCTGTCTTAGCCTCCCGAGTAGCTGGGATTACAGGTGTGTGCCACCATGCCCGACTGATTTTTGTGTTTTTAGTAGAGATGGGGTTTCACCATGTTCGTCAGGCTGGTCTCTTAACTCCTGACCTCAAGTTATCCACGTGCCTCGGCCTCCCAAAGTGCTGAGATTACAGGCGTGAGCCACCATGCCCAACCCTTGTTGTTTTTTATATTTATTTTATAGTCAATCACCTTACCATTATTGTCTACAGTGATTTTTCAGTTGACTCTTAATTTCTTGAAAACTTGCATCTGATCTTTCCAATTTTCATACTTCTTTGACTTGTCTAATTATATTATGGTACTTCCTCAAAAATTTTAATAGTTTTGATAGAGAAGAACAAGAATGGCCACAGACATACATGGGAATACTTTTAATGTTTTTTCATTAATGGTGCCTTTTGCTTGAGATACCATTTTTTTAGTTATGTTAAGGAACTAGTTATTTACTTTGGCTTAAAAAAATTTTTTTAGAAGTGAATGTAGGATTCTGTTACATTTGATTTCAACATCTTACAGAGATTGTCATGTGGTTTTTCTTCCTTGACCTCTTAGTTGGTAAGTTATTGTCTTTGAAAAGACTCCCCTTGGTTGTGGTGTTGTAATATAGTCGTAATGTGCTGCTGGGGATTCCTTTTGCTAATATTAATGTTTTCTGTGTAGATCTCATAAGTGGAGATTGGCCTATAGGTTTGTGTGTACGTATGATATCCTTGACAGATTTTTTTAATATATATAAACATGATTCTGACTTCATAAAAAGTTTAGAAGTTTTCTTTTCTTTTCTTTTCTTTTTTCTCTTTTTGGAGATGGGAGTTTTGCTCTGTCGCCCAGGCTGGAGTGCAGTGGTGTGATCTTGGCTCACAGCAACTTCTGCCTCCCAGGTTCAAGCAATTCTGTTGCCTCAGCCTCCTAAGTAACTGGGATTACAGGCATGCACAACCACTCCCAGCTAATTTTGTATTTTTAGTAGAAATAGGGTTTCACCATGTTGGTCAGGCTGGTCTCAAACTTCTGACCTCAGGTGATCCACCTGCCTCACCTCCCAAAGTGCTGGGGTTATAGGCATGAGCCAGCTGTGCCTGGCCCAAAGTTTTCTTTTTTCTTTTTTTTTGAGACAGAGTCTCACACTATTTCCTGGGCTGGAGTACAGTGGCATAATCTCGGCTCACTGCAACCTCCGCCTCCCGGGTTCAGGCGATTCTCCTGCCTCAGCCTCCTGAGTAGCTGAGATTACAGGCACCCATCACCACAGCTGGCTTATTTTTTGTCTTTTTTAGTAGAGACGGGGTTCTACTATGTTGGCCAGGCTGGTCTTGAACTCCTGACCCTGTGATCCGCCCACGTCGGCCTCCCAAAGTGCTGGGATTATAGGCGTGAGCCACTGCACCTGACCCAGAAGTTTTGTTTATTTCTTTGAGGGTTGTTTTTTGTTTGTTTGTTAGAGTCTTCAGAACCAGTGTATTCTTTGAGGTTTTGAATATATTCTATAGAATTAAACAAAACAGACGGCTGTCCTACTTCCTCTTCATCTGTGACTCCTTACGTTTTATCCTTTTTTTTTTTTTTTTTTTTCTGAGACGGAGTCTGGCTCTGTCGCCCAGGCTGGAGTGCAGTGGCTGGATCTCAGCTCACTGCAAGCTCCGCCTCCCAGGTTCACGCCATTCTCCTGCCTCAGCCTCCCGAGTAGCTGGGACTACAGGCGCCCGCCACCGTGCCCGGCTAGTTTTTTTGTATTTTTTAGTAGAGACGGGGTGGTCTCGATCTCCTGACCTCGTGATCCGCCCGTCTCGGCCTCCCAAAGTGCTGGGATTACAGGCTTGAGCCACCGCGCCCGGCCTTTTATCCCTTTTTTAGTTCAAATGGTTATTTGAACTAACCATTATGTGTCCCCCTCCTTCCCTTCCCTCCCTTGTTTTCCTTCCTCTTCCTGTACCAAAGAAACAGCTTCTTCTCTTCTACAACTCCAGTTACATGTTTTGAAGACCTTTTTGTTCTTGACGTGGTCTCTTATGTAATTGTCCATTTTGTCTATGCCTTACTATGGCTATTCTGACCTGGCTTTTAATGCACTAATTTCTCTCTTCAACTATATTTACTTAAAATACTATATATCCATCCAACCTTAGTTATTGTATTTTTCCATTCTGGAATTTGCGTTTGATTCTTCTACTTCTTGACTACAGTTCTCAATCTAGTCCTTTATTTCCCTAAACATGCTGTTATTTTAGAATTCATGTTGATAACTTCACTGTGTGAAATCCCTGTATATTTGTTTCTGTTGTCTGTTGCTTCTCTTGTTTTGATTTTCTATTGCGCATTAAGTTCTTGTATGCCTAGTTATTTTTGATTGAGTGTAAGTCATTGCATACGAAAATTTTGGGATTCTATATGATATGTTTCTCTAAAGAGGACCTTAATTGGTTTCTTGAAGAAGAGTAAGAGCACCAGCACCTCACATTGAGGGAGTTAAACTCTCCACACTGGGATTCAGTCCCTGGGAGGTCCAGAGTATTTCCAACTTGCCCCTTTACTTCAGTGGCATAGTCTTCAGGGACCCACCCTAAAGCCTGAGATGAACCATCTCCTTTCTTCTAGGGACTTCCCAGAGGAACTGTTGTTACCAGTTTAGCATGTATCCTTCCAGGTCTTTTCTTTGAATTTGTATGTATCGATGTGTATATACATGTGTGTACATACACATACTTTTAGAAATGATTTTGTTTGTGTCTTATTGACGTATTTTAAGTAAATGGAATCATTCTGTGTATGATTTTGCAGCTTGCTTTTCTTCACTTAATGGCATTTCTTAGCGAAGCTTTCCATTTCAGTACAGATTGAGCTACCTGTTTTTTGGTAGGGGTCAGTTGTAGAGTATTTTGTAGCACAAATAAGTAATAGTTTATTTAACCGTTCACTCGGACAAACTTCAGAATGTCTCTAGGCTTTTTTCTGTTTATGCTGAATATTCTTGTATATGCCCTTTTTAGATAGATAAGGGTTTATAGAACATTATGAAAAAATGGTAACAGATACACATTTTTTATTTATATTTATATATTTGTGTATTTATTTATTTATTTGAGACGGAGTCTCGCTCTGTCTCCAGGCTGGAGTGCTGTGGCACCATCTCGGTTCACTGCAACCTCTGACTCCCTGGTTCAAGCAGTTCTGCTACGTCAGCCTCCCGAGTAGCTGGGATTACAGGCATGCACCACCGTGCCCAGCTGATGTTTGTATTTTTAGTAGAGATGGGATTTCACCACGTTGGCCAGAATGGTCTCGATCTCCTGACCTTGCGATCCACACACCTCGGCCTCCCTAAATGCTGGGATTACAGATGTGAGCCACCGCACCTGGGCTACGTTTTTTATTTTAATAAATAGTGCCAAATTTCTCTCCTAAATTCACCAGCAGTAAATGATAGTATAAGAATTTTCACACATGGCCAAGCATGGTGCCCCACGCCTGTAATCCCAGCACTTTGGGAGGCTAAGGTGGGCCAATCATCCGACGTCAGGAGTTCAAGACCAGCCTGGCAATGGCGAAACTCTGTCTCTACCAAAAATACAAAGATAGCTGGGTTTGGAGGTGTGTGCCTATAATCCCAGCTACTCGGGAGATTGAGGCAGGAGAATCGCTTAAAACTGGGAGGCGGAAGTTGGAGTGAGCTGAGATCATGCCATTGCACTCCAACCTGGGTGACAGAGCGAGATTGTCTCAAAAAAAAAGAAAAAAAAGAATTTTCACCATCCTCACCAATGCTTGGTATTATCTGATTTAAAAGTTTGCCAGTTTTACAGGGAAAAAAATACTGTCTTGTTTTAATTTTTCATTTTGCTGGTTGCTAATGAGATTTAGATTGTTTTTATATGTTTTTTGAACATTTCTTATTCTTCTGATGTGTTAGCATTCTTTCATTGTTTTCTCTGCTGTGGAGTTATTTTTGTTTTAGTGGTCTCAGATTAAATTATAATTCAGGGCTGGGTTCAGTGGCTCATGCCTGTAATCCCAGCACTTTGGAAGGCCGAGGGAGGCAGATCACTTGAGGCCAGGAGTTTGAGACCAGCGTGGCCAACATGGCGAAACCCCATCTCTACTAAAAATATAAAAATTCACTGGACATGATGGCACATGCTTGTAATCCCAGCTACTCGGGAGGTTAAGGCACAAGAGTTGCTTGAGCGTGGGAGGCAGAGGTTGCAGTGAGCTGAGATCGCACCGTTGCACTCCAGCCTGGGTAAAAGAGGAAAACTGTCTCAAAAGTAAAAATAAGTTATAATTCAAACTCTATCTCAAACTTTAATCTATGAATGACTACTTTGATTCTTACAGATACTACATAGTGTAATCAAATTTCAATGTTAAGATAAATATAAATATAGGTATTGTTAAGGGGGAGGGTGTTTTTGTTTCTTTCCTATCCTATCTCGGAAGCTCAATATAAGTACATAAGGAGGGATAGGCATAGGAAAGAAATTGAATTATTAAAATTTCATTTTTTCTTAGACAAATAAACCTCAGAGATCACGACCCAATCTCATCAAACCAGCTGCCCAGTGGCAAGATCTGAAAAGGTTGGGAGAAGAAAGCCCTAAAAAGTCTAGAGCAGCATTTGAATCAGATAAGAGCAGCTATTTTTCAGTGTGTAACAACCCATTGTTTGATTCTGGGGCACAGGATGATTCTGAGGATGACTACGGTGAATTTCTGGATCTTGGGCCTCCTGGAATCTCTGAATTCACTAAGCCAAGTGGCCAAATAGAAAAAGAACCCAAGCCTGGACCGAGTCGTAACGAAGCAGCAAATGACATTGTCAACCCCAGATCAGAGCAGAAAGTCATCATCTTGGAAGAAAGTAGCCTTCTTTACACAGAAAGCGATCCTTTAGAAACTCAGAACCAGTCATCCGAAGACTCAGAGACAGAGCTGTTATCAAATCCAGGAGAGTCAGCTGCTCTAGCAGATGATCAGGCCATCGAAGAAGACTGCTGGTTAGATCATCCTTACTTCCAGTCTCTGAACCAACAGCCCCGTGAAATAACAAACCAAGTTGTTCCTCAGGAACGGCAGCCTGAAGCAGAACTGGGCCGCTTGTTTCAGCATGAATTCCCGGGGCCAGCTTTTCCAAGGCCAGAACCCCAGCAAGGTGGGATTTCAGGCCCCTCTTCTCCTCAGCCTGCCCATCCTCTAGGAGAGTTTGAAGACCAACAGTTAGCAATTGATGATGAAGAGCCAGGTCCAGCCTTTCCAATGCAAGAATCTGAAGAGCCCAATTTGGAAAACATTTGGGGGCAAGAAGCTGCAGAGGTAGATCAAGAACTTGTTGAACTATTAGTGAAAGAAACGGTAAGTTTTATCAAGTAAATACAGACACTACATATACTGAGTTTCTTTCTTTTTTTTAATTGCAAAAAAAGGTTGTATGCGTGGACTTTATTTTTCTAAGAAGTACATATCTAGATATACAGAAAAGAGACACTCTGAAGACGTGAAAATGGAATTGGGGTTCCTTTACTATACTTAACCCTTCAGGAAGCTCTCTGGGATTCTAACTGCATATCATGGTGGCCTGGTGCTGTCATACCTGCAGTTCCTCGTTTTTTCCAAATTCCTTGAGTTCACTCCAAATGGAAACCCTTAAAGCAGGTTTATTGAATTACCTAGACCTATGCTGTCCAATATGGCACTTACTAGCTCCTTGTGGCAGTTTACATTTAAATGTCTTACAGTTAAATAAAATTTTCCCGTGGCACTAGTCACATCTTAGCCTTAGTAGCCACATGAGGCTAACAGCTTACCTCATCATCAAGCATAGAGGACAATGTTTCTGTCATCCTACAAAGCTCTATTAGTGGTGATATTAAGAGTAATATAAGAGCCGGGCATGGTGACTCACGCCTGTAATCCTAGCACTTCAGGAGGCCAAGGCGGGTGGATCACAAGATCAGGAGATCAAGACCGTCCTAACACAGTGAAACCCTGTCTCAACTGAAAAAACAAAAAATTAGCCTGGTGTGGTGGCATGCGCCTGTAGTCCCAGCAACCTCCGCCTCCTGGGTTCAAGCGATTCTCCTGCCTCAGCCTCCTGAGTAGCTGGGATTACAGGTGCATACCACCACGCCTGGCTAATTTTTGTGTTTTTTTTAAGTAGAGACGGGGTTTCACCATGTTGGCCAGGCTGGTTTCGAACTCCTGACCTCAGGTGATCCGCCTGCCTCGGCCTCCCAAAGTGCTTCGATTATAGGCATGAGCCACCGCGCCCAGCCACCCAGGTGTTTTTATCTAGCCACGAGGTTGTGAGCTGCTTGAGGGCTGGCATGAGATTGTAACTTATTTGTGTTTTGATTCCCTTTGTCTAGACAGAGATGCTCAATATTTGTTGAAACAATGAAGAATGGATCTGTAAAATGGGGACAGAGAATGAGATCTCTCAAGACCTTTCTAGACCTAATCTTCTATGTAGACAGATGAATCTGAGAACTAGTGTTGACTTTGAAGACACACACAGACCTGCTTCAAAGCCCTTTTCTAGTCTTTAGTCATTTTATTACACTTTTGCCATCCGTCTTGTATTGGCATTTGAAACCATTCTAGTGAATGAAATATAGATTATGTTCTTATTTGTTTCTAGGAAGCAAGATTTCCAGATGTAGCAAATGGGTTTATTGAGGAAATAATTCATTTGAAGAATTATTATGATCTGAATGTGTAAGTATAATACCATGCTTTTTTTGTGGTAGTGGTTGTGGTAAAATATATATAATATAAAATTTACCATTTTAATCATTTTTAAATATACAATTTGGTGGTGTTAAGTAAATTAACGTTATTATGCAACTATCACTACCATCCATCTCCAGAACTCTTTCTTCTTCTCAAAATGAAACACTGTCCCCATTAAACACTCACTCCGCATCCCCCTCCCAAGCCAGTGGCACCCACCATCCTACTTTCTTTCTATATGGATTTGACTGCTATCAGGGCTTCATGTATTTATTCTTTTCTGACTGGCTTATTTCACTTGGCATGTCTTTTTTAATGACCTTGTTCATTCTGACATTAGTGATATACAGACTGTTTTCTGGATTTTATGGAATACTGCATGGTTACAGAATTATGATGCTGAGTTGTTTCTGAGATTCATACTACCTATGTTTTAGTCAAGATGTTAAGACATTTTCTTCCCTACAATTGTAACAAAGTGTTCTACAACCACTCTGGAGAAATACATAGAAACATTTCTTAATTTTCATTATAAAAGGGATAAATATAGACCAGACACATAGCTCACACCTTTAATCCTGGCACTTTGGGAGGCTGAGGCAAGAGGATTACCTGAGTCCAGGAATTCAAGGCTTCAGGGAGCTATGTTACGCTCCTACACTGCAGCCTGGGAGGCAGAGTGAGATCTTGTCTCTGTTTAAAAAAAATTTTTTTTAAAGTCTTAAATATGCTTTTTAAAAATACAAGTTTTCCTGAAGAATATAAAATGAAAAATATACTCTTTCCCCTCCTTCTGATCTGCAGAAGTGAAATAGTCGTAATTTGTTGTTGTTGTTGTTGTTGTTGTTGATGGAATCTTGTTCTCTTGTTCTGTTGCCCAGGCTGGAGTGCAGTAGTGTGATCTTGGCTCACTGCGATCTTCACTTCCCGGGTTCAAGCAATTCTCCTGCCTCAGTCTCCTGAGTAGCTGGCATTACAGGCGTGCTCCACCGCACCCGGCTAATTTTTGTATTTTTAGTAGAGACAGGGTTTCACCATGTTGGTCAGGCTAGTCTTGAACCCCTGACCTCGTGATCCGCTTACCTTGGCCTCCCAAAGTGCTGGGATTACAGCCGTGAGCCACTGTGCCCAGCCTGGTGGTAAACTTAAACAAAATAGACAGTTCACTAAACACCTTTCCTCAAAGTTCCTATCTTATACTGTAGTTCTCAGTCAGGGGTGCAGGTGGGTTTCTTCCCTGCCGAGGCTGAGAAGGAAGGACCCCTTTCCAGGTACTTAACCCAATGTAGGTACTTTTTTCTAATTTGTACAATGACACTGTTGGAGCCAGTAGTGGCCTTGTCTGATCCCACCTCTGTACAGAGGCAACCACTGTCATCAGATTTTTATTTGTTTGTTTATTTATTTATTTATTTTTGACACAGAGTCTCACTCTGTCGCCTACACTAGAGTGCAGTGGTGCAATCTCAGCTCACTGCAGCCTCCGCCTCCCAGGTTTAAGTGACTCTCCTGCCTCAGCCTCCCAAGTAGGTGGGATTACAGGCATGTGCCATCACGCCTGGCTAATTTTTATATTTTTAGTAGAGACAGAGTTTCCTCATGTTGGCCAGGCTGATCTTGAACTCCTGACCTCAGGTGATCCGCCTACCGCAGCCTCCCAAAGTGCTGGGATTACAGGTGTGAGCCACTTCACCTGGCCTTCCCTTAATCTTTATCAATTTTACTTAACGTGCTTTTCAGTAAAGCAAAACCATTAAGAGTATATACTACCAGGCCATAGATTGGTGATGTTGTCAGTTCTGGAAATTTTGTAGCTGTTTCCTGTCTTCTGTAACTCTTCTCCCACAATCTCCATGTCTCTAAGTTCACCTCTTTGTCTCTGAGATGCATTCTGGACGATTTCTTCACAGGTGTCTTCTAGCCCACAAATTTCTCTTCAGCAGAGTGTAATCTTTTAACTCATCCACTGTGTTACTGTTTTTCAGTTATGATATTTTAGCTTTTAATTCTCTTGGTTATTTTCCTAGAATTTTGCTCTTTGCCTACATTTTTAATCTTTTTTTATTTCTTTAAACAATAATCATCGCTTCTTTGTGAGTTTGATTGTTCTGATGTGTTAAGTTCTTGGGAATCTTATTGGGAATCTTATTCTGTTCTTCCTGCTGGCTCCCATTGTGCCTCATTTTCTTGTGTATTTTCTAAGTTTGACTCTAAGCTCATGTCTTGAGTTCTTGATAGAGTTGGTTTCTTTAGAGAGGATTGTTTTTGCTTCTTTCAAGTCCCCAAGGGCAGTGTCAGTTTGAAACGACTTTAGATTCCTGTCTTGAAGTTTTTGGATTATACAAACTTTTAAAATTTTATTTATTTATTTATTTATTTATTTATTTATTGAGATGAAGTCTCACTCTCTTGCCCAGGCTGGAGTGCAGTGGCGTGATCCTGGCTCACTGCAACCTCCGTCTCCTGGGTTCAAGCGATTCTTCTGCCTTAGCCCCACGAGTAGCTGGGATTACAGGCGCACAACACCATGCCCAGCTAATTTTTGTATTTTAGTAGAGATGGGGTTTCACCATGTTGGCCAGGCTGGTCTCGAACTCCTGACCTCAAGTTAGTCCCCTGCCTCAGCCTCCCAAAGTGCTGGGAAACGTGAGCCACCATGCCCGGCAAACTTTTTTTTTCTTTCTTTTTTTTCTTTTTTTTTTTGAGAGACAGAATTTTTCCCTTGTCACCCAAGCTAGAGTGCAATGACATGATCTCGGCTCACTGCAACCTTTGCCTCCCATGTTCAGATGATTCTGCTGCCTCAGCCTCCCGAATAGCTGGGATTATAGGTATGTGTTACCTCACCCAGCTTGGATTACCCAAACTCTTAAAGCATTTTTTATTTTTCAACAAGAGACTCTACCTGGGTATTTAACCTTCCATACAGTGAGGAAAAAAAGCCATTTTGTTATTTACATGCCAGGTACTCACTCATCTCAAGCCTTTCCACATATTTATTGTGTATAGTTTTTAACTTGGTTATTGTAGAATATGATATACACAAAGAAAAATGAAAAATTACTGTGGTTCAGTAATTTATCACAAACCAAACACTTATGTAACCATGACCCAGAAATCTTCAAGAAATAGAATGTTGCTATCCTCTTTGAACACTACATAACGATTTTGTGTAGTCTATAGTCTTTTGCGTCTGACTTCTTTTCACTCAGCATTATGTTTGTGAGACTTATTCATGTTGGGTAGAACCACAGTTTACATATTTTTCGTATACCACTTAGCAATGATATTTTCCATCTACTTTTGATAGGGATTTGAGTTCTGACTGTCACAAATAATGTAGCTGTGAACATTCTCCTGCTTGTCTCCTGAACTCTACGTGCCCCACGCCCTGGCATCCACCTTCCTGTTGGCTATGTTTGCTGTTTTCCAGGAGAATTGTTTGTGGGGGAGTTTTTTCCCCTCCTAGCTTTTGAAATACTTTCTTTTTGGATTTCTAAGTGGCATAATAATAACTACATTTTTAAAATTACTAAACTTTATTTTTTAGAGCAGTTCTAGGTTTACAGGAAAATTGAGCAGCAATGACTACATTTTTACAATGAAAACTTTTCTCGTAGACTTCTACTCATCTAAAAAGCAACTTGTATGTGTGAATTGCTTTAACAACTCTTCAATAAGACTGAGTTATGTTATTTTTTGTAGTTAACTAGGGTAGGCATAAAGTAGCATAAGTGACATTTCTTTGATAATTGGCTGTTTTTTTCATATATTTGTTTACTAATTGTATTTCCCTTGCATGTGAATTGTTTACTTCTCTCTTCTCTTTGAATTCCTTTTTTTCTTGTTTTGGTTAATGTTTTCCTGGTTATGAAATGTAATACTGGTTTGTTCATTACAGAAAATGTAAATGGTACAGAAAAGTATAAATTTAGCTCATTTAAAGAACAATGATTTGAATACCAGATAACATGTTTTAGTTTTGTTTTTTGTTTTTTGGTTTTTTTTTGAGATGGAGTCTCGCTCTGTCCCCCTGGCTGGAGTGCAGTGGCGCAATCTCGGCTCACTGCAAGCTCCGCCTCCCGGGTTCACGCCATTCTCCTGCCTCAGCCTCCTGAGTAGCTGGGACTACAGGCGCCGCACCAGGCCAACCGCTGGCTAATTTTTGTTATTTTTATAGAGCGGGTTCTCCCACTGTGGTCTCGATCATGCCTGACTTGTGGATCGCCCACCTCGGCCTTCCAAAGTGGGCTGGCATTAGCAGCGGGAGCCACCGGGCCTGACCTGTTATATAATTTTTTAACAATTTAGGCTCATAAAGAATTGAAGGAATACTTCAATGTTTTCATCCTCTGCTGCAAGATGAAACATTGCATGTTTAAAGTATTGATCTTCAAGATTGTCTATTAAAAATCACTAAATGGTAATTAAATTGACACTTCTGTTATGAGTTTCTGTTCTACCTTCCCTGAGTCTCACAGCGTGTGTACTTATTTTAGGGGACTTGCTGGACCCTCTGTGGCTTTTTGTTCAACTCAGAGAAAAACATTGATCCTCTTAAAACACATTTAAAAATTCTTGTGAGGGCTGGGTTGGCGGTGGGCCCAAGCCTGTAATCCAGCACTTTGGAGGCTGGAGACGGAGGATCACACGACGGTCAGGAGATCAAGACCATCCTGGCCTAAACACGGTGAAAACCCGTTCTACTAAAAAATATTGGAAAACTAGGCTGGGCAAGGTGGCGCGGCGGCCTGTTAGCCAGTTACTCGGGAGTCTGAGGCAGAAGAATTTGCGTAAAACCGGGAAGGTGGAGCTTGCAGTAAGCCGAGATCGTGCCCACTGTACTCACCAGGCTGGTGCGACAGAGCCAAGACTCCTTTCATAAAAAAAAAAAAAATTTCTCTGATATCCGAAAAGCAAGGAAATTACTGGCATTGTATTGCATCTTTTTCAGCCAATCTTGGTTTTCCCTGACCTTGCTTTCCTTTCCGTTTAGTCTCTGGGCTCCTCTAGGACAATGTTAATCCACAACTAAACTTAAAATGTTAATGGACTGGAAATGAGGGCCCAAGCTGGAGTTGAGCAGGGGGCTGGGATTTTGTTGTAGCTTCAGTCTCAGTTGGCTTATGTGCGTCTTTCATGAGACCTTCCAGAGGAGAACCATCTGGCATTTTAAGCACGGGCAAGGGCCGTATTCATTAGAGAAGCCACAGGCAGGTAATCTACTCTGCAGATTAACTTAGGGGCCTCTTCATCGTACGGGAATCACTTCAAGGTTGGATGGAAGGCAGCACAAACCTATCTAAGGTTTGGAAGGGCGAGAGTTACTAGCCTGGCTTTACTTTGAGGAGTGTGCCTCTCTCTAAGATCAGCTAGCATGTAACGATTCGCACTTAAGCATGAACTGCATATGAAGAAGGTAGGCGATTTGAGAAGGTCCAACAGGCATTTCCCCTCTGCTTTTGCCCCAGTGGTGCAGATATTCAGAGGGAATACCCACGTTGTTTCTGTTAGGAAGAAAAATTTATCCTTCATTTCTGGGCCTTCTAAATGTCCCCTTAACCTTCCCGAAGGAGCTCTGTTCGGTTAAGCATAATGAAAGATTAAACTAGAAATTTGAAAAATTTTTTTGGGACGAGTCTTTATAGTTGAGAGCTATCTGATATTCTACCATGTGGACTCATTATCTGTTAAGCATTTCTATTCATGAAGTTTTTTTTTTTTGTTTTTTTTTTTTTTGAGACGGAGTTCTCGCTCTGTCGGCCCAGGCTGGAGTTGCGTGGCTGGATCGTCAGCTCACTGCAAGCTCCGCCTCCCGGGTTCCCGCATTCCTCGTGCCTCAGCTTCCCGAGTAGCTGGATACAGGCGCCCACCCCGCGCCGGCTAGTTTTTGAATTTTTTTAGTGGAGACGGGGCTTTCACCATGTTAGCCAGGGTAGTTCTCGATCTCCTGACCTCGTGATCCGCCCGTCTCGGCCTCCCAAAGTGCTGGGATTACAGGCTTGAGCCACCGCGCCCGGCTGAAGTTCTTAATATTGTTGAAAATATAAAATGGGGAGAGATGAACCTCTCAAACATGTTTTTTTTTTTTTAAGAAATCATATCTACTGTTCCACATGTATTTCATGTAGAGGTGTACTTATGTATCATGTACTTGAGAAAACATGAAAACAGACCATTTTAAAGCTAGTTCATGTCTAGTTTGTCGCCACGTCAAATATGCACATGTAATGAGTTGTCTGTAACTCAGGCCTTTCCCTACAGACAGGATTTTTGCTGGTGGCTAATTCTCAGGTCAGCCTTCAAAGGTTTGCATAACCTCAGTGCACACCAGTGAATTCTAGGACAGAGAATTACCACTGATGACAATGGTTTTAAAGGAAAATGTACTCTGAATTCTTGTCTCCCTCTGTAATAGGAGTTTCCTGCTTTTTTTCCTCTCTTTGGGCCTCTGGCATTGTGTTCCATAGACTGGGCAGGCTGTGGTGATAGGGAAGCGGGGAGCTTAGAGACAAAAAGTATATGGGACTCCCAGAAGTAATGGCAAAGGGAAATGCATTGAGATGTCAGGATGAGCGAGAGCGCTTTGACATGGGTCCCCGGCGGGGGTTGCAGAATAAACGCACGTGTCCAAACCAGTCCCCAAACACTGGCACCTGGGTGAGAAAAAGAGGCAGAGCTGGGCACTTTTTCTCTGCCTTCCTTCTGCCAGACCTCCTGTCCTACTATTATAGGCCTTACTATTGACATCTGGCAAAAGAGAATCAGTAGAAAGGAGGTGTGTGAGAACTGCAGGTATAGCACCTAGGGGTTCATCCTAGGAATCTACTGGAGCAAGAGAAAGAACAGAGAAAAGGGGAAGTCCCCATTAACCTCTGAGCAAAGGAACTTCCTTGCTACTGAATGTGGCTAGAGCTGTACCCCACTCACTCTATCTTCAGTACTGTGCAGTCATTCCAAGGTGGTTGTCTGATTTGGCTGTGAAGAGCCTGAATAGTTAATATTTGTTGGGTCTGGGTGGTGATACATCAATGTGTGTTATCTCACTCTATATATCCTTACTTTGGAAGTATTTCATGATGATAATAGACAAAGCTAATGGGTTTGGTGTGAAGAGTGTCTGTTCGTAGGAAAACATGGTCTATTCATCAGTCTAGCTTAACAGCTAGCTAAATAAACCGAGTATAACTCAGTGGCTCATAGAGCTTTATATTACCTTAGAGATTCATGTTACCAGAGGGGTATGAAAAGTATTAATGAATTAACAGAAGATCTTTTATATTTCATTTATTTATTACATCTCTTAGCAGACTATTTTTTATTGTAAATGTGAATACACAGTTTTCCACTTCTTTCTTGTTCATAGTTTTCTTGACAAAAGAGTAGCTACTTTTCTTACAAATTGTCCAATTTCGTAGTTTAACCAATAATAGTTTCAGTGACTTCATTACATTAACACACAACTGATACCTAAACTTCAGAGGAGTTTGCCTTAATCAGTATGTTCGTTGCTTTTTAAATTTTTTATCTTCCACAAAGATAGGAATTCAATGCACTTGTTTGTTTATTTTTCTGTTTAGTTTTTCTGGGCTGCACACATCTTAATTTCTTGTTAGGCCAGTTGTAATGTGTGACTAAGGACTATATTCTTCAAACATTGCATTTGAGGCAATGGGCAGGTATGGGGTTTGGAAGCAGTATGAAAGTAACATCATTTGTTTTTGCAGACTTTGTAATTTTCTTCTGGAAAATCCAGATTATCCAAAGAGAGAAGATAGAATCATCATAAATCCCAGTAGCAGTCTGCTGGCCAGCCAGGATGAGACAAAGGCAAGTGTGGTGTTCTTGCTTTGCAGTCGCTACCTGGAAATGCTCTGCTTTGTTGTTATTGTTGTTGTTATCTGTATGGGAAGAAAGTGCTTTGTTGGGACAAGTTTTTAAAGACTAGCAGAGGGACATAGGATTTCAGAATATGTCTATACTTCAGTGCGATCTCCCATTCTGAGCCACTTTGAATTCTGTCTTTAACTTCTATCTTTCCTTGTAATTCTTATCTTCTTATCTTCCTTTTCCCACAAAGAATTAAATGAATCCTCCGTATCTTTAATCCTACAAAGCAAATTCCTAAAACAAAACAAGAATTGGCCAGGACTCTTAACATTTTATTATGAAAATTTTCAAACCTACAGAAAAGTTGAAATATTTTACGTCGATCACCTATATCCCTACCACTGGTGCTACTAAAAAGTTAACAGTTTACTGTATCCTCTTTATCATACATATGTCCTCTGTCTGTCCATCAGCACATCTTTGTTATGTTTCATTTCATTATAATGCATTTCAAAGTAAATTGCGAAAACATCAGTACACTTCCCTGTAAATACATCAGCATGCAGATCATTACCTAGAGTTGAATATCTTTTTTCTTTTGATGTGAGATTTGTATACAGTGTATACTATACATCTGTTTAACCAGGTCTCATATCAAGATGTAAACAGCTTGGTTTTTAAAAACTTTAATCATTGTCATTATTTGTGATCCAAACTGGCATTTAGTGTGTTACATGGTAAAGTATGGTTGAGAACTAACTTTATTAAGATCTGTTGCTTGATCTTCCAACTCCCCATAGATTCTTTGACTGTCTCTCTTACGTATTCTATAATAGAAAAAAAAATAGTTGTGTGTAAATATGTTGTGGAAAGAATGGCTGAAAGATTGGTTTAAATCCCCAACTATACTTCTTTACTAATTATGACTAGTAAAACTAGTCTGTCGACTCCAGACAGGTTCGTTTAACCTCTCTGAGCCACCATTTTCTCATCTTTCTTATAGGGCTGGTAACTTCCTTATAGAGTAATTAGAACAAACGTTATTCTTTTCTACACATGTAATTCCTAAAATGATTTCCCTTACATGGGAAATGTACTGCCTGGCCTCTGATTTTATGCTTCTCTCTCGTTTCAGTTGCCTAAAATAGACTTTTTTGACTATTCTAAATTGACTCCTCTTGACCAGCGCTGCTTCATCCAAGCTGCTGACCTCCTCATGGCAGACTTCAAAATGCTCAGTAGTCAGGACATCAAGTGGGCGCTGCATGAGCTCAAAGGACACTATGCAATCACCCGAAAGGTGCTCTACTTGGTCTTCCTCTTGGGGTCACACCTCTTGGCTACATCTTCCCATGATAACAGAATGAACAGTCCAGCTTGTGGAAATTGGGATGGTTTATGATTGCTAAGGAATTAGGGTGAAGATAAATAGATAGGTATTTGCTGATCATGAAGGGTTAAATGAAAAGAAATAATAGAGGCCGGGCGCAGTGGCTCAAGCCTGTAATCCCAGCACTGTGGGAGGCCGAGACGGGCGGATCACGAGGTCAGGAGATCGAGACCATCCTGGCTAACACGGTGAAACCCTGTCTCTACTAAAAAATACAAAAAAACTAGCCGGGCGAGGTGGCAGGCGCCTGTAGTCCCAGCTACCCGGGAGGCTGAGCCAGGAGAATGGCGCAAACCCGGGAGGCAAAGCTTGCAGTGAGCTGAGATCCGGCCACTGCACTCCAGCCTGGGCGACAGAGCGAGACTCCGTCTCAAAAAAAAAAAAGAAAAGAAATAATAGATAGATGAGAAGCAGAGAAGTCCTGGTTTGACCATAAAATCCTGGAAGGTAATACATTCTAGTGTGGAATGCAGGAGTATGAAAGATGTGTTCTAATCCTGCTCCTTCCTGATTTGCTTTCTAACTTGGGACAGGTCACATGACCATCCATCCCCCAGATGGCTCAGTTACCCTATCAGTGATAGGACGTAAAGTCTGTAAAGAGTCCAGGAACACAGCATTGCCCTCTCAGAGGAGAATGGACAGCTACTGACAGCTCCCACCATTCTCCCCCCAGGATCCTAAAATAGATAGCACTTAAAGGCCTTTGTTAAGGGTGAGAAGAGTGCTGGTTCGTGGTGGTAACACAGACATCTTCCATGAAGGACAGCACACGGTGCCCACTTTGTAGCTGTGGCCAGAACAGAAGTGCATGCGCCAGCAGAGACCTTGGCTTACTCCTCATTCGCCCTTACTGCCATTCAATTCTATTCTACTGAAATTCTTGTGATGCTCAGCGAACACTGTGATGTTTCTTTTGTCCAAAGGACAAACATGGAGTTATTGTAGTGGTTAAAATACTCATTGGCCTTACCTGGAGGAAGGGAAGAACCAAGCCAAGGACTGTGGCTCATGCTGAGGTCTAGGCCAACCCCCTTCCACCTCTTTTTTTTTTTTTTTTTTTTTTGAGATAGAGTCTCGCTCTGTCGCCCAGGCTGGAGTGGAGTGGTGCGATCTTGGCTCACTGCAGCCTCTGCCTCCCCAGTTCAAGCGATTCTCCTGCCCCAGCTTCCTGAGCAGCTGAGACTGCAGATGCTCACCACCACGCCTGGCTGGTATTTTTAGTAAAGATGGGGTTTCACCATGTTGGCCAGGCTGGTCAGCAACTCCTGACCTCAGATGATCCGCCTGCCTCAGCCTCCCAAAGTGCTGAGATTACCAACATGAGCCACTGCGCCTGGCCAAAAAAAGACTGAAAGAAAAATAGAGGGGCTTTGAAAGGGTAAAACAGGAGGCAACCTAAAGTAGACCAAGGGTCTCCAGAAGGGCCTCCCTGAGCAAGGAGCATTTAATCACAGACCTAGGTAGGAGTTCGGTGAAAGGGGTTGTGGAAGATGTTGGTATCATTTATTGGGGGTGAGAACTAGTATAAACATCTGCTTTGGAGGGAAATAATCATGAATTCAATCTGGGAAACATTGGTTGCCAATGTGCTGAGAAGGGCCTGTGAGACATCTAAGTAAAAATAATTCATTGGGAGGTTCAATGGACTAAAAAGTTTGGAAAATACAGACTGTAGATAGGAATTTTTTTTTTTTAATCTCCTTGGGTTTTATGGTGATAAGACTTTGAGAGTCATCAGCATATGGAAAATCTCACCAGCCAGGATGAGGTACCCAGAGATACCAGGTGAGAAGAGAGGACTGCTGACATGTGAAGAGCAAGCGGAGGAGGCAGGCAGACAGGAAGGAGGAAGTTGAAAGACTGGAGCAGTCTGTATTATCATCATCATCATTGTTATTGTTATTTAGAGACAGGGTCTCTGTTACCCGGGCTGGAGTACAGTGGCACAATCATGGCTTATTGCAACCTTGACCTTCTGGGCTCAAGCCATCCTCCTGCCTCAGCTTCCCATGTAGCTAGGACTACAGGTGTGCACCACCACACCTGGATGATCTTTTCATTTTTTGTAGAAATGGGGTCTTGCTAGATTGTGCTGGTTGGTCTTGAACTCCTGGCCTCAGGCTGTCCTCCCACCTCAACCTCCTAAAGCACTGGGATGCCACCATGCCCAGCCTGTCATTAAATACTGCTAAGAGTTTGTGCAAGATGAGGACTAAAATGTAAATGGTAGACTTGTAGACTTGGCCACTCAATAATAAGCATAGATTAGTAAGTGCAAAGGCAGAGTAGATGCCAGATTAGAGACAGCTGGAAAGCTTGTGGTCTTAAGGGTGAGGTGGTGAAACAGAAGATAAACAGCTCCTTTGATAAATTTCTCTACAAAGAGGAGAGGACAAAAGAGGGGCTGGCATTGAAAGAGAGATGAGATCACCTTCTCAACACTGCCACACTGGGGATTAAGTTTCAGCAGGAGTTTCAGACAAACACTGCCATCATAGCCACCCCCCTTCTCATGCCGCCCAGGCTTGGACCCCAGCCTGCCCTGCACCCTAACAATGTAGCCACAGGACATGAGCCCCAAGGCCACCTACCCCCTGCCGCACTCAGAAGTCCCACCCAGTCTTCCTGAAAGGCTCCCACTCTTCCTTCTCTTCCAGGCAGGATGGCCTTACCTCACACACTCCTCCTTCCTGTTCAAATCAGGTACCCCTTCTCCCTCCTCTTTTTTAGGATGGCAGACTTGAGCACTTTTTTTTTTTTTTTTTTTTTAAGACAGAGTTACACTCTGTCGCCTAGGCTGGAGTGCAATGGCGCAATCTCAGCTCACTGCAACCTCTGCTTACCAGGTTCATCGATTTTCCTGCCTCAGCCTCCCAGTTAGCTGGGATTACAGGCGCATGCCATCACGTCCAGCTAATTTTTTGTATTTTTAGTAGAGACAGGGTTTTGCCATGTTGTCCAGGCTGGTCTCAAACTCCTGACCTCAGGTGATCCACCTACCTTGGCCTCCCAAAGTGATAGGATTATAGGAATGAGCCACCGCGCCCGCCCTGGCTTCAACACATTTAAATCCTGATAAGGAAAATCTAAGAAGGAGAAGCTGAAGGTAGGAAAGAAAAGGGATCCTCACCAGTGGAAGGATTTTGAACTCCAGCATGCTTTCGAAGGGTGGGGTGCGTATAGGTGCAGGCAGAGAAGAGCGTGGGGGAAGCAGGTTAGGGGAGAATAAAGAGGAGCATTGACCAGGGAAACAACACGGAAGATTTGCCTACAGAATGGAACTCACCAGCCCATTGTCGTGTGATTTAACCTGTACTTATTCAAAGACAGCTTGGACAGTTTTTTTTTATTTGAGACTGGGTCTCTTGTGTTACCCAGGATAGAGTGCAGTGGTGCAATCATGGTTCACTGCAACCCTGCCTCTCAGGCTCAAGTGATTGTCCTACCTTAGCCTCTGAGTACCTGGAACCACAGCTGTGGACCACTACTCCCAGTTGTCTTTTTGTATTTTTAGTAGAGATGGGGTGTCCCCACGTTGCCCAGGCTAGCCTTGAACTCCTAAGCTCAAGCGATCCGCCCCGCTCAGCCTCCCGCCATGCTAGGATTACAGGTGTGAGCCACAGCACCCAGCCAACAGTTTTTCTTTACTCTTTAATCTGTCAGTAAGTGTTTTGCTTCCACCACTGTACCAGTTTATGAAAGTCAAAGAAAATGAAAATAAAGAAATGCCTATTTACCACTGACTAATTCTTTTTTTTTTTTTTTTATTTTTTTGAGACGTAGTCTCACTCTTTCGCCCAGGCTGGAGTGCAGCAGTGCAGTCTCAGCTCACTGCAACCTCCGCCTCCCAGGTTCAAGTGATTCTTCTACCACAGCCTCCCCTGAGTAGCTGGGATTACAGGTGTGCACCACCATGCCCGGCTAATTTTTGTATTTTTAGTACAGACAGAATTTCACCATGTTGGCCAGGCTGGTCTCGAACTCCTGACCTCAAGGGATCCGCCTGCCTTGACCTCCCAAAGTGTTGGGATTACAGGCATGAGCCACTGCACCCGGCCACCACTACCTATTGTTAGCCATGCTGGGAAGAAAGCTGAAACCGTGTTAAAATGACATTTAGGGATTGCCTGTCTCGTGTATTCTTATTTTCCCTTTACAGAAGTAACCTCTCGCTTTCTCAATTTTTAGGCCTTTTCTGATGCCATTAAAAAATGGCAGGAGCTATCACCAGAAACCAGTGGAAAAAGGAAGAAGAGAAAAGAAATGAACCAGTATTCTTACATCGATTTCAAGTTTGAACAAGGTAATGCAAACTGTGTTGCTGGCAGTGTGTAGCTGCAACACGGTACCTTTTGTTCTTCACAGTCAGTGAAGGAAGCCGTGCTACAGGTGTCTGCCGAGCATCTGGCCATGCCAGTCCGAAGAGTGACTGACAGGAACTATTTTTTCAGCACATCGAAATTTTTAGAAAGTGGCTGCACTTGTTGGCCTCTTCCTTCCTACTTAAGATAAACCATGGCAGGAAAATTTTGTGTGGTAGAAAATTCATGTGTGAGAAAGTATTTGAGTATGCTGTTAAGCTTGGGGAAAAAACTGGTCTTGAAGGTTTGATGAGAATTGGCTGTGTTGTTAGGTAAAAACTGCCCAGACTTATGAATGAGGCCTTACTGCGGAGGGTCACTTATGCAACTGAGAGAATGGCCAGTAGCCACATGTTTCTCCAAAATTCTGTCATTCTTATTGATGAAATAACTGCTGAAAACCCTTTCAAAGAGGTTACTTCAGGTCTCATCCCCAGAAATGTAAACTTGAGTTTTATAACAACTCAGATTTTATCTGAGTTGCTTCTACCCAGTAAAGGAGTTACTACAACTTTTTTAGAGATCATCCCTTTCTGTTATGTGTGCACTTAATTACCACACTTGATTTCAGGTATGACTAAGTGGGAACTCAGGTAACTATAAAGCTGGAAAGTATTTGTATTTGCTATGAAATTTTCAGGATCTAAAAGCAAATTGCTTAGGTTATGACTCCTGAGGTTCCCAAGCCAGTCTGTGGAGCAGTGCTCTGCTAACATGGCATTCTCCTGACCTGTGGCAGAATGTAGAACTACGGGCACTGTGTAGGTGGTTTTTCATTCAGCCAAATTTACCCACAGTTCAGAGCAGGCATCCTTGTACATAGCCATACAGCGTTTGTTTCTGACTTCAGTAGTGGAGAAAGTGCTGCTTTGCAAGATGGTTGACTCCCTTGTTGGTCAGCTCCGTCTTTTAGACAGTTCTTCCTTTGTATTAAGTAAGCGTGTACTTCCTGAAATGTCTTGCCATGGTTGTAGTTCTTGCCTGTGGAGAGACAGATTCTGGCTGTTGCCGCTTTGTCAGCCTGACTGCCCTTCTCCCTGTCCCTACGTGCCCTTCTCTAGCTTGTCAGGGTCTCTTTTAAAGTTGGGGTGTAGAAGACTGGACATCATACTCCACATGAGGTCTGCTCACATTCAACCTTGGTCTTTTCACCCACATTGCTGTCAGGTCATATACCTCTCTCAGTTTCGCTGCATCTCACATTTTTCCCTGTTAACTTCATTTTATTTGATTCAGTCCCTTGTTCTAGGATAGCGCTTTAATTTATATGTGATTCTTAAATTTTACTTATCAGGTAATCTTTACGGACCCTGGAAGCATGAGATAAAAAATACACTTGATTTATGTTAATAGTTTAACATTTATGATTCACACTTAGCCTTTTTTAACAGCTTTTTATAAGGACACAGGCTAAAAATCTCTCATCTGTTCCAGGCATCCCATTTTTCTCCTTTTCAGTTTGTTTTCCATCTAAGCACTGCTCTTTGGGCTATAATTGCTTGACTCAAAGAGTGAGACAGGGTCTCCCTCCTCTGTCCTTTTTATAGTCATACAGGAAAATACATTAGAGGAAAGTTTGTAGACTTAATTGCATTTGTTTTTAAAAATAAAGGACTGAAAATAAATCTTATTACTTTAACATGAGTACAAAAAGAACTGAGTAAAGATGAAAGAAAAATAGAGGGTGAAAACATTTTTTAATTTCTAGCATTGATAATTATAGTAATTAACATTTATCGAGAACTTAATATGTACCAGTCACTTTTCTAAGTGCTTTAATGGATTAATTCATTTATGTTTCAAATAGCCTTATGAGATGTATGTGCCATTATTATCATTTTATAGAAAAAAACTGAAGCACAGAAAGGTTAAGTAACTTGGCACATGTTACACAGCTAGCGAGTAGCTGAGCTGGGAATCTGGCTTCAAAGCTTACTCTCTAAACATGTGCTTTTCCATTCTCATAATACCAAAAACTTTTTTTGTTGTTTGTTTTGTTTTTAATTTTGAGACGGAGTCTGCTTCCCAAGCTCAAGCGATTCTCCTGCCTCAGCCTCTCAAGTAGCTGGGATTAGTCACAGGTGTGTGTGCCATCACGCCTGGCTAATTTTTGTATTTTTAGTGGAGACGGGATTTCACCATCTTGGACAGGTTGGTCTTGAACTCCTCACCTCAGATGATGTGCCCTCCTTGGCCTAAAAGTGCTGGGATTACAGGCGTGAGCCACTGCGCCTGACCCCAAAAACTGGTTTACTGAAGAAAAGATTTGAATTTTAAAAAACATGAAAAGGAGCTAGAGAAAAGGAGAATCAAAATAAAATGTATTAGGAACCAGATAGTAAATGTTAAAATCAAGAGATTACCAAGAACAGACAAGAGTACATTGAAAATCTGGATGAGATAAAGTTTTGTAGAAAAACATAAATTGGTCAGGCATTGTGCCTCACACCTGTTATCCCAGCACTTTGGGAGGCCAAGGCTGGTGCATTTTTTGAGCCCAGGACTTCAAGACCCGCCTGGACAACATGGCAAATACAAAAAAATTAGCTGGGCGTAGTGGCATCTGCCTGTATAGTCCCAGCTCCTCAGGAGGCTGAGGTGGAAGGGTCGCCAGAGCCCAGGAGTTGAGGCTGTAGTCGTCTGTGAATGTGCCACTGCGCTCCAGCCTGAGCAACAGAGCGAGACTCTTGTTTCCAAAAAAATATCATAAATTGCCAAATCAACAAAAGAAATACAAAACCTAAACAGATCAATTACATGTCTGATATTTGTCATTCTGCTGTCTTTTATTCTCATAATACATTGTGGTGAATATAGGTACTATTCCTTCAGCCCCTTGTATATTTGAATGCTTTCAAAATAAAAATGGTTGAAAAACGTATAGCACATTTGCACCCACCAGAATGGCTAAAATTAAAAACCGAGGATAGGTGTTGGTAAGGACATGGAGAGACTGGAACTCACATGCGTTGCTGATAGAGGAAGGGTGTAAACTGGTACAACCACTTTGGAACACTGGCATTATTTTCTAAAGCTGGAAGTAAGCCTATCCCATGATCTAGCAATTCCCAGCTAAATTGCGGACATACATTCACCAACACATGGCTATAAGCAGCACTATTCAGATTAACCCAAAACAGTAAACCCAAATGTCCTCAGTAGTGAAATAGATAATAAATTGTGGTATAATCACATAGTACACTAGTGACAGAATAGGAGATGCCTTCCAATTGGAGCGTAAAGAGAGGGAAAGAACCAGAAAGGTCAAAAAATGGATAGTAGGTTGGCAAATGGTAAGAAACCCAGTCTTCCCAAATGGTAGAGTGTGATAGAGAAGTCATGAAACGAACCGCCAGAGAGAAGAGGGAGGATGAGGCCGGGAAGAATGGACATGGCTGGCCCAGATTCCTAACACACAGTTGTCTGCATGCTTTTGCATTGTCGTATATCTTCTAGGTGACATAAAAATAGAAAAGAGGATGTTCTGTCTTGAAAATAAGCGACGACATTGTAGGTCCTATGACCGGCGTGCTCTCCTTCCAGCTGTGCAACAAGAGCAGGAGTTCTATGAGCAGAAAATCAAAGAGATGGCAGAGGTAGGAAGATGTGCTCTGGTCTTGGGGTGTGTTTCTGGGATTCTGGTTTGCTCTTAGGGTTTAGTTAGTACAAAACTGTCTTTTAAGATTTCCCTTTTCTTCAGAGTGGTGAATTTGGATATATGCAAAGTTTATAAAAAGAAAAAACCTGGGTTTTGTCATAATACTTATGTTTTTGGTTTCATAAATCAGATTTATGTTAGAAAATTTTAATTGGTGCTCTGTGTATCTATTTTACCTCCTCCACCAGCCTCAGTTCCATTTCGCTCTTTAATTTTTCTTAATACAGTATCAAATGTGCAAGTCGGCTGGAATGTATATATTGATTGTTTAATAAGTATCTTCTAAACCAGTGGCTCTCAAAGTGTGACCCAGAGATCCCTGGGTTTCCCAAGACTCTCTTGGGGGTCTACGAGGTCAAACCTCTTATAACTATACTAAGACATTACAGTGACCCTTGAACAACATGAGAGTTAGGAGTGCTTCCCCCTGTGCAGTTGAAAGTCTGCATATAATGTTTGATTGCCCCAAAACTTCACTGTGAACAGCCTGCTGTTGACAGGAAGCCTTACCCATAACAGTCGATGAACACGTTTGGTATGTTTTGTGTATTACATGCTGTATTCTTACAATAAGGTAAGCTAGAGAAAAGAAAATGTTATTAAGAAAATGATAAGGAAAATATATTTAGTATTCACTAAATGGTAGTGTGGGTCAGCATGAGAAGGTCTTTGTCTTCATGGTCTTCACGTTGAGTAGGCTGAGGAGGAGGGGTGTGCTGGTTTTGCTGTCTCAGGGTGACAGAAGCAGAAGAAAATGAGCACATAAGTGGGTCCCCACAGTTCACACCTCTGTTGATCAAGGTCAGCTGTATTTGCTTTTTCACCACATTGAATTTGTACCAGCAGAAGCAAAGCAGTGGTGCCTTGGCATGAATCAGACCAGTGGCATAGAGCCATCCTCATAATCTTTGTTTTCTTCACCACCATGCGCTTACATTTTTAAGACACACCAGTTTCACCTGTAAATGTCTTTGATAAAGCAGTAAAAATTATATTACCAAATTTTGACCCTTGAAAACATCTTTTCAATATTCTGTGTAATAAAATGAAGTCTTCATAAAGTGCTTCCGCCACATCCCAGGATATGAAGCTTGTCTTATATCCAGGTATGAGGAGAGTGCTTGTGCAATTGAGACGCAAAGCAGCTGCATTGGCCACTTTTTACTTGGAAAAAAGTGACAGAAAAACTGTGATTGTTCAAAATTAGGTATTTGGCAGGCATTTTTTCAAAAATGAATGAAGTGATTATTTTTGACCAAAATTCTAGATTTTAAGCAGAAATTAGAATTTATTATCTTAATCCATCTGTTACAGAATGACATTCATTAATATCACCAATCTTATCAGATAAGTATTTAAAGTATTAGCAAATTGATGAATGCCGTCCATTGTCATTTATTCTTGGTGATATTCACATTGTCCTGTCTCTGACTAGTGGCTGCCCCTTCAAGTTAGTCTCTCTTACCCGACTCCTGTAGTCTCTGACAGTGTCTCTGCTTCTGGGCACAGCAAGATGACCCCGTTCCAACTTCTGCTTTCTCTCACCTGGACTCAACAATTTCTCCAAAGTGCCTTCTTTGCTTTTTTTTCTTTTCTTTTTTGACAGAGGAGCTCCATATGTTACCGAAGCTGGAGTGCAGTAGCACATTCATGGCTTACTGCCTTAACCTCCCGGACTCGAGCAGTCCTTCCACCTCAGCCTCCTGAGTATCTGGGACTGCAGGTGTACACCACCACACCTGGCTAACTTTTTTTCTATTTGTAGAGCCTGGGTTTCCCCATGTTGTCCAGGCTGGTCTTGAACTTCTGGCCTCAAGCCTTCCTCCCAACTTAGCCAACCAAGTTGTTGGGGTTACAGGCATACACCACCATGCCTTGCCAACTTTATTTTCTTTTCTCTGATGCTAAAAGTCTTGGTTCTTAATGACATTAATAACATTATTCTTGTCAGATTATATCTGAGAATATAAAATTAAAATATCTTAAAGTCGCTTGAAATATGTCTTGGTGCTTATGCCATTAAGTTGATAAACAAGTTTATAGGCACGGTGGCTTATGCATGTAATCCCAGCACTTTGGGAGGCCAAGGCAGGTGATCATTTGAGGCCAGGAGTTCAAGACCAGCCTGGCCAACATGGCAAAACTCTGTCTCTACTAAAAATACAAAAAATAGCTGGGCATGTAATCCCTCCAAGTAGCTGCCTGTAATCCCAGCTACTTGGGAGGCTGAGGCACGAGAATTGCTTGAACCTGGGAGGTCGGGATTGGTTGCAGTGAGCCAAAATCGTGCCACTGCACTCCAGCCTGGGCAACAAAGCAAGACTCTATTTCAGAAAAAAAAAAAAAGTTTATTTCTTTCTGTTTATTTTGAACTTTTAGAGAATTGGTTTTGTTTTTTTATCTAATTTTGTAAAAAAAATTTAGTTTTGAAATCAAAACTATAAAACAAGGAATATTCAGAAAAATCTAGCTTTTGTCCTGTCCCTTTCTCCCACTTTCCTTTGTTTGTTTGTTTTTTGAGACAGAGTCTTGCTCTGTCACCCAGGCTGGAGTGCAGTGTCAGGATCTCGGCTCACTGCTACCTCTGACTCCTGGGTTCAAGGGATTCTCCTGCCTCAGCCTCCTGAGTAGCTGGGATTATAGGCGCGAGCACCATGCCTGGCTAATTTTTGTATTTTTAGTAGAGACGAGGTTTCACCATGTTGACCAGACTGGTCTAAAACTCCTATCCTTAAGCGATCCATCCACCTTGGCCTCTCAGAGTGCTGGGATTATAGGCGTGAGCCACTGCACCTGGCCCCTACTTTGTTTATATATAACCATTATTGTTAGTCTTTGGTTTATTTTTCCTCATTTATGGAAAAACAAATATGTATACTATTTTTATTTACCCGTCTTTCTTATCCAGATAGTAGCAGAGTTTTCCAGGCGTAGTAGCTCACACCTGTAGTCCCAGCTACTCAGGAAGCTGAGGCAGGAGGATCTCTTGAGCCTGGGAGGTTGAGGCTGCAGTGAGCCAGGATCACACCACTGCACTCCAGCCTGGGCGACAGAGTGAGATGCTGTCTCACAAATAATTTAATGTAATCCCAAATGGTGAAGAACTCTTCTGTGACTGCATTTTTCGTTTAACCATGCATCCTGGCAATCACTCTGTGGCAATTCATAGGAGTTTTTCTCTTTCCTTTTTGAAACTGGCTGGTATACCATTTTATGTAATACCACAGTTTATTCAGTCATTCCCCTGTTGATGGACGTTTAGGGTTTCCAGGTTTCCGTGGTTATAAATAGTGCCATGATAAGTTTATGCATACATCATTCCCTGTTTCTGCCCAGGTGCATCTTTGGGCTAGACTCTTGGAAGTGGCATTGATGACTCTGTGCCAGTGTCCCGCCAGTGTGGTTGTCCTGCTTTGCATTTTCACCAGTAATGTGTAAGGGTGCCCACTACCACACAGCCTCGCCAACGAAGTCTGTTGTCAAACAGTTTTTGTTTGTTTTTTGAGACAGAGTTTCACTCTTGTTGCCCAGACTAGGGTGCAATGGTGCGATCTCAGGTCACTGCAACCTCTGCTTCCCGAGTTCAAGTGATCTTCCTGCCTCAGCCTCCCAAATAGCTGGGATTACATTCGCACGCCGCTACACCCAGCAAATTTTGTATTTTTGGTAGAGACGGTTTCTCTATGTTGGTCAGGCTGGTCTCGAACTCCTGATCTCAGGTGATCTGCCCGCCTCAGCCTCCCAAAGTGCTGCTATTACAGGCATGAGCCATCCCGCCCAGCCAAACTTAGTTTTCATTTGTTCAATTTGTTTTTGTTGATGCTATTCTTTGCTATTCAAACTGTTTTGTGTGTCAGCCTTTTCCCTTATTTATTCTACATTTTGAGTCATACTTAAGAAAAATTGTCCTGTATTTTCTAGCTCTCTGATCCACTTACAATTTATTCACAGGTAACTTTTTGAACTGCCAACCTGTGTAATTGAAGAGATCACAGTACTGGAGTTATGTTTATGGAAATGAATACTAAATGGTTAGTGTCATTTTTACTGAATTTGTGTCTGAGTGTGTCCTTTTTTTGTTCTTCAGCATGAAGACTTTTTGCTTGCCCTGCAGATGAATGAAGAACAGTATCAAAAGGTACTTTGAAATCTCACCTTGTTTATTCTGGGCATTTTCATGGGCTGTTTTCTCTTACCATGTTTTGTCAGCATTTTTGATGGCAAATTTGTTTTTGGATAACCTGCTGTTGATTTGCTGAGTTTGCAGTTCAGCCAAGTTATAGTCAGATACATGATCTAGTACAGTCACTCTTACACCACACTGAATCAGAATTGAAGGGGAGATAATAGATGTTCCCATTGAAAATCATTACCTGACGTTCATTAGATAGACTCATAAAGGAAAGTTTACAGCTTACATATCACTTTAAAGTTAAAGAGATACATCTAACCTCAGGGCAAGATGGGTTTCTGTATGGTGTCTGCTGCCCTCATACAGTGAGCTTTTCTTTATTTATTTATTTTTTTTTTTTTTCAAACGGAGTCTTGCTCTGCCAGCAAGGCTGAAGCGCACTGCAACCTCTGCCTCCTGCGTTCAAGCGTTTCTCCTGTCTCAGCCTCCCGAGTACCTGGAACTACAGGCATGTGCCACCATGTCCAGCTAATTTTTGTATTTTTAGTAGAGACGGGGTTTCACCATGTTGGCCAGGCTGTCTCAAACTCCTAACCTTAGGTGATCCATCCATCTCAGCCTCCCAAAGTGCTGGGAACAGGTGTGAACCACTACGCCCGGCTAGTGACCTTTTCTAATGTGGTATTAAGAATGGGCTGGTGTCCAAGTATCATGGCTCATGCCTGTAATCTCAGCACTTTGAGAGGCTGAGATGGGAGGATTGCTTGAGCCCAGGAGTTTGAGACCAACCTGGTCAACATAGCAACACCCCATTTCTAATAAAAATTAAAAATAAATAAAAGAATGGCACTGGATGCGGTGGCTCACACCTGTAATCCCAGCACTTTGGGAGGCCACGGTGAGCAAATCACAAGGTCAGGGGTTCGAGACCAGCCTGGCCAACATGGTGAAACCCCGTCTCTACTAAAAATACAAAAAATTAGCTGGGCGTAGTGGTGGGTGCTTATAATTCCCCGCTACTCAGGAGGCTGAAGCAAGAGAATTGCTTGAACCTGGGAGGTGGAGGTTGCAGTGAGCCGAGATTGCGCCTCCAGCCTGGGCGATAGAGTGAGACTCTGTCTCAAAAAAAAAAAAAAAAAGAATGAGTTGGTGATTGGATCATTTGCTGATTGGATCAGTTGCTGTGGTTAATAAAAGGAGTCAATAGCTTGGTACATTATTTGAGATTGCTGCTTTAATTAGCTTCAGTAGTCCCTTAAAATAAAGCTCAGACTTGGATACGACCAGTCCTTATGACAAGAACAAAATTCAACTTTTGAAAGCATTTTGGTTAATATCTCTTGTGTTCCTTATCCTTGCTTTTTATAATCACATTAGCATCTGAGTGCAGATGTTCTAGTCCCTTTGCACCATGGGATTGAATATGATAACTTTATACAAAGAATTACTCTAAAGAAAGCAGACAAAACCCATGAAAACGTCGGTGTTTTAGGTATGGATTACTATTGTGCTAGTATCTTGAGCTGAATTTATATAGCACGAAACAGCATATCATTGTTTTATGGCCTCTAAAACGGGTTGCTTTTTACCTCAGAATTTGTTTGGGGGGTGGGAGAGAGATGAGGATGGGAGACAAGGCTCTCCCTCTGCTTAAGTGCAGGGCATTTCATGTGTGTTTCTTGACTGCCTGCAGGACGGCCAACTGATTGAGTGTCGCTGCTGCTATGGGGAATTTCCATTCGAGGAGCTGACGCAGTGCGCAGATGCTCACTTGTTCTGCAAAGAGTGTCTCATCAGATATGCCCAAGAGGCAGTCTTTGGATCTGGAAAGGTAAGAACTGTGTAATATGTCCCATGTATATAGGACACATTCCTGGAGTCTAAGGAGACCATGTTGATAGATAAGTGTAAGTGCCTCTTTCAGGGTGAGGTGGAATTTTGCTGGTGTGCTTATGGGCATTACCTGTTGTGTGTGATTATGTGGGTTCTCTAAGCACAGCAGATTTCTTTTCAGGGAGCAGTAGAATTCTTCCACGCCCCCATGCCTAGCTGCAGAGGAGCACCGGCTTCACTCATCTTCTTATTCATAATCAGAGGGAAGCTTACCTCCGAAAGAGAGAACCTTGCAGCCTATTGGAATAAATATATATTAAAATAACATAACTTTCTTTGCACAAGATCATATTTCTCTCTCCAAAGTCAGTTTCTCTGGACATCACCATAACAAACACAGTATGGGAATTTTACATTGTTTTACACCGCTAAGTTTGTGGTATTTTGTTCCAGCAGCAATATAAAGTTAACACAGTGATTAAGAAGATGACTTTTTGCCTGGGCACAGTGGCTCATGCCTGTAATCCTAGCACTTTGGGAGGCCAAGACAGGTGGATTACCTGAGGTCAGGAGTTTGAGAACAGCCTGGCCGACATGGTGAAAACCCATCTCTGCTAAAAATACAAAAATTAGCCAGGTGTGGTGGTGGGTGCCTGTAATCCAGCTACTCAGGAGGCTGAGTGAGCCAAGATCGCACCACTGCACTCCAGCCTTGGTGATGGTGAGACTCTGTCTCAGAAAAATAAATAAATAAATAAAGTTTCTGTTTTTTCAAAGAGCATGACATTTGGAGTCAAGCAGAATGCATTGGGCCATGCCCCCCGTCAGCCATACAAGCTCTGTGATCTTGAGCAAATTAAATGCCTTAAACCTCAGTTTCTTCCTCTGTAAAATGGAAATAATCATAGTATTGTTTTGAAAGCTAAATGAGGTCATGAATTTAATAAACTTACTCTTTGACACATGGTAAATGCCTCATAAATTTTGGCTATTTTTAAGATGTTGTCTTTTTCCATTTGTTTTCTTTGGTGTCTGTCTTTCATGTGGGATGCATTCCTCATGTCTGACACTTTTTGTTCATGTTAAAGAGCTGTTGGAAAGCAGTGTGAGTAGTGGGGCTTATAGAGCAGTCGGTTTGACTCTAGGTGCCTAGGAGCCAGTTAACTTTTATATTATGAACCTGAATGGCCCTTAAGTCTCTTCCCTGGGGTGATTCAGTCTGCCTCCTACCTTGTGTGTGTGAGTCCATTTTCCAATATTCTGAAACTGAGTGGGAGGAAGGGGCTGGAGAATTCTCTGTTCATTATGTAGACTTCATTTCAGACTCTGACTTCAGGCCCCCTCAGCTCTGCTCTTCTCTATGACTGGTTCCCAGGCCAGTGCCTTGTGGTCCAGCTGTTCAGATCTTCCTCATTTCTCTCAGAGTCAGCCAGTTCCTTCTGAAGGGGGTAGGAACTAGAGGCTCCACCCATCTCCCTGTTTTCAGTTTGTTACTTTGAGTCCCCACCCCTCCCCACCACTCAGCTCTGCTTTCCAGGGGGTCTCCAGCTTTCTAATATCTGTAGAGGGGACCAACTTCTCCCCAGCATCTCCTTTTCAGACCCTAAGTTATGGGCTTCTCTCTCTGGTCTGCTAAGCCATTTACTCTTGCTCCACTTTCAATCTCTGTGGATTGTGATTTGGGCTGGTAGAGGTCCTCTAGTGATATCAAAAATGTACTGGATTTTTGTTTCATGGTTTTCGTGATTTAATTGTGATTTCTCAGAGAGATCTTTGCTCTACTGTCTCAGGATCTATGTTTTTAACCACTGATGCTTTTTATTTTTCTGTAAACGGTGTTGGTTTTTTTCTTTTTTGTCTGTTCGCCTTTTTCTAGTCGGAGCTCAGCTGCATGGAAGGCAGCTGCACGTGTTCGTTCCCAACCAGTGAGCTGGAGAAGGTGCTCCCCCAGACCATCCTATATAAGTACTATGAACGAAAAGCCGAGGAGGAGGTTGCAGCAGCCTACGCCGACGAGCTTGTCAGGTTTGTTCTCAGGCAGAGCATGCCATCTGCCACCCCTTCCCCATTGTGAAAACTACCTGGGCACTTGCATCAGATGATGAAAATTGAGTATATCTTCCAGGTTTTTTGGCATTTCTTGCTGAGAAATAAGATTATCATTAATTTTACTTACTTATTTTTATTTTTTACACCTCAAAACCATTGAGTAACCAGTAATTCTATTAATGGAAAAATCTGCGGTTCAAACTTCTTCTTTTTATTTTTTGAGATGGAATCTCACTCTGTCACCCAGTTATGGAGTACTGGAGTGCAGTGGCACAATCTCAGTTCACTACAACCTCCGCCTCCCGAGTTCAATCTATTCTCATGCCTCAGCCTCCCAAGTAGCCTGGATTACAGGTGTGCGCCACCACGTCCAGCTTTTTTTTGTCTTTTTAGTAGAGACGGGGTTTTGCCATGTTGGCCAGGCTGGTCTCCAACTCCTGACCTCAAGTGATCCACCCACATCGGCCTGCCAAAGTGCTGGGACTACAGGTGTGAGCCACCGCGCCCGGCCTGCAGCTCAAACTTCTGTCTACATATCTTGGCACCCCCGATCTTCTGGCCTGTAGATACAATCATGGTGCCCTGGGCTGGAGGGAAATCGGTATATGCAAGGAGTTCTCACTAAGATTGGGCTGTGTTTATTGAGTGGTTTATATTGAGTCAGGACCGCAAGTAGTGCTTATGTTTCCTGATAAGAGCCAGCACAAAGAAGAGGCTCAATCTGTGTTTTCAGGAAAACTAAGGAGTATAAAGGGGATGTGAATGTCCAGCTCAAAACTCCATCTTCATATGAATAGCCACATGGAGCTGGAACCAAGTCAGTCTTTTAATGTTTGAAGTAATGTCACTTCTGCTGTTCTGACTGTAGGTGCCCCTCCTGTAGCTTTCCTGCTCTGTTGGACAGTGATGTGAAGAGGTTCAGCTGTCCTAATCCTCGCTGCCGAAAGGTAGGGAGGCAAATTTTTTTCTAGATGTATATTATGGTATTACGGGCTGCCCTCATGGCCCAGATATCTGCTGTTTACCTGACCGCTGATGTATAAGAAGGATTTGAGTGCTTTCCTTTTCATAAGCAAATGAGGATGAGTACTTTGTGAGTAACGGTTGACATGGTTACTGAGATGGCAGCCACTCGTGCCACTCCAGTTACAAAGCTCTGGATTCCTGTTTTATATCATCTTCTTTAGGACAGATACTGTAATGTAAAGTGGGAAGTGTTTAGTTTTTCTTCCACTGTGTCAACATTTTTCTTGCTTGCTCTCTTTACCACCTATGCTCAAATACCCCCTGCTACCCCTCCCCGCACACACACACACACCTTTTGCCATTTTCAAAGTCCAGATGACGCTTCTTTGATTAAAGAACTGGGCATCATAGTGGCATCTCCATCACATCTGGTAGGTTATTCATTTGACTGTTTCTCCTCATAAGAACTGACTGTATTAGGTGGGAACAGAGCTGTCTAGGCGCATTACTGTTGCAGATCTTTCTTCCCTTTAACTTGGCACCTACTCTGTGAACTAAGAGTGTCTTAAAATTTGTCAACTATTTAGAAGCCACTTAGAGTTTTTAGTGAATATTAGCATCCACCTAGACAAATACGTTCTAAGCCATTTTTCTAAAATTGGGTGATTAGAGTTGAACACTGCAATATCTTTGCCTTGGGGAAAGTAAAGAAATTAAGGTAGAGATTAGAAAAGGAAGAAGAAACTAAACTAATGGATCAAAACTTTATTTCTTTTGTTTTCAGCATTAATATTTCTGGCCATTTTATATGTTCGCACCCCAGGCTGTTGCTATAACAATTGTCCCAACAGTCGCTGGCATCTTGCAACTCTAAGAAAACAGAGTGCTAGGCCGGGCGCGGTGGCTCAAGCCTGTAATCCCAGCACTTTGGGAGGCTGAGACGGGCGGATCACAAGGTCAGGAGATCAAGACCATCCTGGCTAACACGGTGAAACCCTGTCTCTACTAAAAAATACAAAAAAACTAGCCGGGCGAGCTGGCGGGCTCCTGTAGTCCCAGCTACTCAGGAGGCTGAGGCAGGAGAATGGTGTAAACCCGGGAGGCAGAGCTTGCAGTGAGCTGAGATCCGGCCACTGCACTCCAGCCTGGGCAACAGAGCGAGACTCCGTCTCAAAAAACATTAAAAATAAAAATAAGAAAGCAGAGTGCTGGCCTCTCCCTATGTGCTTCCAGTGGGTCAGGTGCTGGACTGCCTGGGGAGGTGATGCCTGCACTAAGACACAGCAGATAGGGAGGAAGTAGCCAAAGGATGGAAAGGGTGGGGGTGGAGTGGAGATGGAGAAATGCCCAGGAGTGGCAGCAGTGTGGACGCTTACTGGTGCTAGGAGTGTGAAGGAGGCTCATAAGCTGAGCAGGGGCAGGCCCATGCAGCACACTGTCCTGAGGTGGGGAGAGGTAAAATATCAGGGAAGTCTACTTGCCTATTGAGTAGTCCAGGTGAGAAATGTACAGCACTATACCGCCTCTTGGGTCTTCGTGAGTTGCTTAGAAGGAGCTGGGAACTACATTTCCTGGTAAGGTTTCAAATAAGGTCTCCCAGTGAAAGTCCTTATGTACAATTGGGAAGGTCAAAGAAGAGGAGAGACCATTATTCTCTCAGGACATTTTTTTTTTTTAATTTTGAGACAGGGTCTCACTCTGTCATCCACGCTGGAGTACAGTGGCATGATCTCAGCTCACTGCAACCTCCGCCTCCTGGCTTCAAGCAGTTCTCCTGCCTCAGCCTCCCAAGTAGCTGGGATCACAGGCATGTGCCACCATGCCCAACTCATTTTTATATTTTTAGTAGAGATGAAGTTTTACCATGTTGGCCAAGCTGGTCCTGAACTCCCGGCCTCCAGTGATCTACCCGCCTCAGCCTCCCAAAGTGCTGGTATTACAGGCATGAGCCACCACCCCCATCCTAAAAGCAGCTGCATTTGTTGCCCAGTGGCTCATGCCTGTAATCCCAGCACTTCGAGAGGCTGAGGCGGGCAGATCACTGAGGAGACCAGAAGTTCGAGACCAGCCTGAGCGACATAATGAGACCCTGTCTCTAGAAAACAAATTTTAAAACTCAGCTGGAAGCGGTGGTGTGTGCCCATAGTCCTAGCTACTTAAGAGACTGAAGCAGGAGAATCAGTTGAGCCCAGGAGGTTGAGGCTGCAGTGAGCCATGATTGTGCCACTGCACTCCAGCCTGGACAACCGAGTAAGACCCTGTCTTTAAAAGAAAAGAGTCTAAAAAATAAAAGCCTGAGGACACACATGAGTCTGGAACAGCATCTAGTGAGCGTCAACTTGGAATGTTGATGAGAGCTTCCCAGGGGCTCTTAACATCCCAAATAGGAACACCACATATATTTTAGTTTCTATCTGTGGGAGGAATATACATGGCCTGCTGAACTTAGAGGTAGCCATGTATCTTCTTGTGGCCAATGAAACATGTGAGTAGTTAGATCACTTGCAGAAAAAACCATAAAGGCATGTCATGTGGGATGATGTCAAGATGACAGAAGAGAAAGCCCCAGACCCTCTTTTTCCCATAGAGATACCAGTTCAACAACAATGGAAGGACCATTTCTCTGTGAGAAATCCAGAAACCAGTTGCATCAAAGACTGGGGAATTTGTGATGCTGGCTCTCCAGAGCTCCTCCCCCTGGCACAGCACCGTATGATTGGGAGGGAACTCCCAACTCCTGGCATCTTTATGGGGAGGAAAAAGAAGACTGGAACATATATCTAATATTCAGACCTCTCAGGAGGCTGCTCAAGGTACAGGTTGGGGACCACTGAGGACAAATGGGATGGTGGAACTAGCACATACTGACTCCTCATTGCCCTCTCCCTGCTTCTCTTTGGAGGGAAGGAGTTGGAGCGTGAGTCCAACATTCTAGGTTTTCTGGAGCCCACCCAAGACTCTGGTTTCTTTCTCACTAGATGGAGCACTGATGGGACCTGGCATGGTCTAGGTCCCTGGGGGCTGCGGAGAACAAGAGAAAGCTAGGTGCTGGGTGGCTTGTACTGCCCCAGAGGACCCACAGTACAGTAGGCAGAGTCCAGTGTACCTAGAAGGCTGCTTTTTGGGTCCAGGGGAAGAGTAGAGCATGTGTCCAGCATTTGGAGTTCTCAAGGGGCTGCCTGAGGGACTGGCTTCTGTCTCACCCAACTCAGTACTGGCAGAACCCAACGTACTCTAGATGCCTTGGAGCTGCTGAGGCCAAAAAAGAGCTGGGCAGCTTACAGCAGCTCCAGAGGGCCTGTGGTACCTCAGACAGGCACCAGAAGAAGCAAGAGCTTGCAAGCTCCTGAAAAAAGGAAAACAAAAGCCTGAGCACTTAGATTAGCCTACGATTTAGCAAAATCATCTCACAGGAAGCCTATTTTAGAATAAAAGTATGAGTATCTCATGTAATTTATTAAATACTGTACTAAAAGTGAAAAAGAGAATGATTGTATGGGTACTTGAATTACAGTTTCTACTCAATGTGTATCACTTTCATACCACAGTAAAGTCAAAAAGTGTAAATTAAACCATTGTTGGAGACCATCCATATGTGCACCCAGCATCGGTGCACCCAAATATGTGAAGCAAATATTGACAACCGAAGGGAAAAATAACACAAAAATTGCAGGAGGTTGCAATACCTCACTTCCAATTATTGTTAGCACCACCAGGCAGAACATTAGTAAGGAAACAGCTGACTTGAATAAAATTATAGACCTAACAGACACATACAAAACATTCTAGCCAACAGGAACAGAAAACACATTTTCTCCTCTATTGCACATGGAACATTTTCTAGAATAGAAAATATTAGATCATAATACAGGTGTTAACAAATTTAAAATCAAATCATACCAAGTATCTTTTCCAGCCACAAGGTGATAAACTTAGAAATCACAAACAGCAAGAAAATTCACAAAATATGAGAACTAAAGAACACACTGTCCAGGCATGGTGGCTCCCACCTGTCATCCTGGCACTGTGGGACACCGAGGCAGGTGGATCACGTGAATTCAGAAGTTCAAGACCAGGCTGGCCAACATGGCGAAGCTCTGTCTCTACTAAAAATACAAAAATTTAGCTGGGTATGGTTGCGTGCGCCTGTAATCCCAGCTACTTGGGAGACTGAGACAAGAGAATCACTTGAACCAGGGAGGTGGAGGTTGCGGTTGCGATGAGCGGAGATTGTGCCACTGCACTCCAGCCTGGGTGACAGAGTGAGACTCTGTCTCAAAAAAAAAAAAAAACATACACACTGAAAAGCTTTTTTTTACTAAGATCAGAAACAAAGCAAGGACATTACTCTCATTACTTCCATGCTACATAACACTGGAAGCCCTAGCTAGAGCAGTTTGGCAGGAAAAAGCAAAAGCGTCCATCTCCATGTAAGTTCACAGATAACATGATCTTATACATAGAAAAATCTGCAGTTTCCACAAAAACCTTGTTAGAATTAATAAATTCAGCAAAGGTGCAGGATACAAAATCAGCACATAAAAATCAGTTGCATTTCTGTACACTAACACTCCAAAAAGAGAAATTAAGAAAATCTAATTTATAATACATCAGAAAAGTTAGAATATTTACGAACAACTTAACCAAGGAGTAGGGAAAGACTTATACACTGAAAACTATAAAAAATCGCTGAAATAATTAAGACATAAATAAATGGAAAGACACGCCTAAAATGCATATAGAACCACAAAGGATCCCAAATATCCTAGACAGTCTTAAGAAAGAAGAACAAAGCTAGAGGCCTCACACTTCATGACTTCAAAACATATTACAAATTTACAGTAATTTAAACAGGCAGACATGTAGACCAATGGAACATAATACAGTGCTCACATAATACAGTGCACACATTTATGATGAGCTGATCCTCAACAAGGGTGCAAAGAACACACACTGGGGGAAAAGGTAGTCTTTGATAAAT